GTTCAGTGATTACAAGTGGAACTCCTAGACTTGTAGAACTAGGTGTGCCGAGTTTGGGTTCGTTTTGTTAGTTACGATGAGACCTTACCACCGGACTTGATTGAGTGACCTGAAGGTGTAATCAGGTGGTTACAAATGGAATTCCTAGACTAGTAGAACTAGGTGTGACGAGTTTGGGTTCGTTTTGTTAGTTACGATGAGACCTTACCACCGGACTTGATAGAGTGACCTGAAGGGGTAATTCAGTAACTACTGCTGGAATTTCTGAACGAGTAGAACTAGGTGTGCCGAATTTGGGCTTCGTTTTGTTAGTTATGACGAGTCCATACCTCCGGACTTGATGGAGTGACCTGAAGGTGTAGTTCAGTGATTACAAGTGGAACTCCTAGACTTGTAGAACTAGGTGTGCCGAGTTTGGGTTCGTTTTGTTAGTTACGATGAGACCTTACCACCGGACTTGATTGAGTGACCTGAAGGTGTAATCAGGTGGTTACAAATGGAATTCCTAGACTAGTAGAACTAGGTGTGACGAGTTTGGGTTCGTTTTGTTAGTTACGATGAGACCTTACCACCGGACTTGATAGAGTGACCTGAAGGGGTAATTCAGTAACTACTGCTGGAATTTCTGAACGAGTAGAACTAGGTGTGCCGAATTTGGGCTTCGTTTTGTTAGTTATGACGAGTCCATACCTCCGGACTTGATGGAGTGACCTGAAGGTGTAGTTCAGTGATTACAAGTGGAACTCCTAGACTTGTAGAACTAGGTATGCCGAGTTTGGGTTCGTTTTGTTAGTTACGATGAGACCTTACCACCGGACTTGATTGAGTGACCTGAAGGTGTAATCAGGTGGTTACAAATGGAATTCCTAGACTAGTGGAACTAGGTGTGACGAGTTTGGTTTCGTTTTGTTAGTTACGATAAGACCTTACCACCGGACTTGATGGAGTGAAATTCGGCACACCTAGTTCTACTGGTTCAGAAATTCCAGCAGTAGTTACTGAATTACCCCTTCAGGTCACTCCATCAAGTCTGGTGGTAAGGTCTCATCATAACTAACAAAACGAACCCAAACTCGGCACACCTAGTCCTACAAGTCTAGAAGTTCCACTTGTAATCACCGAACTATACCTTCAGGTCACTCCATCATGTCCGGTGATAAGGTCTCATCATAACCTACAAAACGAACCCAAACTCGGCACACCTAGTTCCACCAGTCTAGGAGTTCCAGTTGCAATCACCGATTTACACCTTCAGGTCACTCCATCAAGTCCGGAGGTATGGACTCGTCATAACTAACAAAACGGAGCCCAAATTCGGCACATCTAGTTCTACTCGTTCAGAAATTCCAGCAGTAGTTACTGAATTACCCCTTCAGGTCACTCCATCAAGTCTGGTGGTAAGGTCTCATCATAACTAACAAAACGAACCCAAACTCGGCACACCTAGTTCTACTAGTCTAGGAGTTCCACTTGTAATCACCGAATTACACCTTCAGGTCACTCCATCAAGTCCGGTGGTAAGGTCTCATCATAACCAACAAAACGAACCCAAACTCGGCACACCTAGTTCCACTAGTCTAGGAGTTCCTATTGTTGTAATCACCAAATTACACCTTCAGGTCACTCCATCAAGTCCGCAGGTAGGTAAGGTCTTATTATAACTGACAAAACCAGTTCAAAGTCCAGAGCTAACATCTCACTACCAGTAGAGGGCTTCCAGTGCCAAGCAGTCTTTGGAGCAGGTATTCATATTTCGTATCGAAGTATATTTCTGAGGTAGGTATAAGAAATGAAAAACAAATTCAATCTTTCAAATTATCAAAATAATTTCATTTGACTACGATTCCCACAGTCAACCGTGCGTACACTAGTGTGTGTGTGACTTTTGTCAATGTAGTAGTGCGATTCTATACCTATCCATTTTGTAAACGCGTCCTTAAACGGTGATTCTCACCACCATCCTTCACAGTTAGCTACCGTGGGTAAATCTTTGTTTCAGAGAGCACGAGGGATCTGTGACAGTAAACACCTGGCTGCAGAGCTCCACCATGTCAAGCAAGTTTTGCATGACAACAAGCTTCGAGTCCCGCGCCTACGTCACAGTGAACGAGTGAAGCCGGCCACAGTCGAGCGTGTACCTGCTGTACTGCCATATGTTAGAGGAGTCACTGACAAGATTGGCTACATCTTGAAGCGCGCTTCCATCAAAACATACTTCAAGCCGCTGAAGAAGATTGGTCAGTTTTTACCATCGGTCAAGTGTAATGTCCCTCTGCAAGATGCAGGAGTGTACAAGCTTGATTGTGAATGTGGTCTCTCCTACATAGGACAAACTAAAAGATCAATAAAAACCCGCGTTAAAGAACATATAACTGATGTGAAGAATCGACGCTCCGGGAAGTCTGCAGTCTGTGAACACGTACAGGATCGCCCCCGTCACTACATCAGATTTGATAGACCGCAGATCCTCGCTAAAGAACACCGATTCCTTCCAAGGATGATTCGCGAGGCTATTGAAATCAAAAAACATCCTAATTTCAATAGAGAAGATGGCTGGGTGCTACCATCTGCTTGGGATCCTATAATAAATAAAATTAAATCCCAACCCAAGCATACAACTGCAAGACTTCAAGATACCATAAGTTCATACTGCATAGATCGGAACAAAAGTTAAATTTTAATCTATGGTAACCGCGGTTAACTATGACATATGGACGTTGAACATCTCAGTCCTGCCCGTGACCATGAGTGCTGTAAAGCGTTCGAAACGTCGGGTATTTAAAAAGTTAAAATATACGCGATAAATTCCGTAAAAACTAGTATTATTTCAATGTGCAGTGTTCGCGTAAATATAAGAAATCATTAGACGGCTGTTTATTTCAGGCAGGGCCTCCCTAGCTTATCTACAGTTTACTAAATTTTTCCAAAGCTGAGCGTGTAAATTATTGCAGTATCTACGTACCAGTGAACGAACGTAGCCAAAGAGGATTGGTATTATTGGTTCCGGCCCTATAGTTGCCAGGGCCGATCCCCTTCTGGCCAGTTCATCCGATGCATCGTTGCCTCTACATCCACAGTGTCCCTTGATCCATTGCAAAATCACATTGTTGTGCTTACATACCTATTCAATCGTTGATGGCACTCATATATCAGTCCCAAGTTCGCCACATTGCAACTCAGAGCTTGTAGTACCACCATACTGTCGATCAGTATTCTGATGGAGAAGTCTTTCACCTTCCTAGCATGTACTGCTATGGCCGCTTGGATGATACCCATGCATTCAGCTTGGAAGACTGTGTTATGGGTACCCAGCGGTGTGCATATGTGGATATTAAGGTCTTCAGAGAAAGCCCCAGACCCCACACCTTTATTTGTCTTAGAACCATCCATGAAAACTTTGAACTCTTTTGGACCCAATCCTTCCAGATGGTCAGTTTCCTTCAATTGTATCCTGTACTACTTATCGAATACAAATTGTTTTGGGATCCTATCATACTTGGCTTCTAAGATAGAATTTTTTTTGTAAATTCTATCAGATATACCTGTATGGGGGACTCTGCTCTTACTTAAAAGATTTAGGGTCTTGAGTCTAATGACAGCTAAAGTTGCTTCTTGTTGTATATGTAGATGAAGCGGTGTTAGCTCCAGTACAGCCTCTAAAGCAGCTGTTGGTGTTGTTCTTAGGCAGCCCATGGCAGCAATACAAGTCCATCTCTGATAACGCTAAAGTTTTCGTATAGTGTTGGCTTCATTCGTTTTTGTCCACCATACCAGAGCCGTATGTGATCATGGGCCGAATTACAGTTTTGTACAGCCACAATATAATTTTTGGCGTCAAACCCCATCGTTTGTCAATCATGTTTCTACATTGCCAGAAAGTTAAGCTTTGTTGATTTTGTTTTCTGTGTTTATTACAATTAAGTTTACTGTCCAAGGTAAGACCTAAGTATTTTACCTCAGAGGACAGCTGGAGTTTTGTGCTGAAGACTTGGAAGCTGATAGTTATTCAGCATTCGTTTTTGTATGAACATTACCATAACCGTTTTGTTTGGATTAACGGTTAGGTCATATTCCCTGCACCATCTCTCCACAATACTGAGAGCCGCTTGGGTCAGGTCGCACACAATGCTTGCTGTCTTTCCAGAGACCAGTATTGTCAGATCATCTGCATAACCGACTCTGTAAAAACGAATAGCGTTTAATTTGCTGATGAGTTCATTAATGACCATATTCCACAGGAGAGGTGAAAGAACCCCACCCTTGTGTTTTGCTTTTAATTTGCACTTATTTTTGGTGTAGAATTTCTTCAGTCACATTCTCACCAAATAGTAGTACGGAATCGGTTAATAGGTTTTAACGGACTAACGGACGATAAAAGATATAAAATAAAACATTAAATGGATGGTAAAATTTTATTATAAGAAACGAAATAAACAAAAAACAATCTGACATGACTTATATAACGTGAGCATTTTGTGAATGATAAATCTAAAATATTAAATACAGTAATGGCGTCCCTTATTTAGACAGCTATGATTTTAGCGCCAAATGTGACAATCTGGAAAATATCTACTCTCTAAAATTAATAATCAAAGTAATAAAATCACATAATAGTGGAGGAATTCTTTATTTTTTTTTTTGTACATTACTATGAGGTTTTCTAGTTATAACTACAACTATATAACTACAGTTTACAAGATGGCGGTCTTCACACTCTTATTAATTGTATATTACGTAAATATTATATTATAGAAAGGATTACTTAAACTATTGCGTTTAGTTAAATAGTAAATAAAATAATTTTACTGCATTTAAAACAATAATAAATAGCAAAGTGTGTTGCCAGCGATAAAAATTAAATATCGATGAAAATACTTAAACATTTAGGTGCTCGTTAAAATTTAGTGATTTTACCAATCTATTCAAGGAAGTTTTACATAAATTACAAAAATCTATACTTTTAAATCATCTACAATACTAAGTGTGAACTTTTTGAACATTTAAATATCCATTCCAAGAAGTTTTTTGTCGAAGATGAATTCTCCGAGTGATGAGTGGCGGTCGAGCATCTTCTTAAGAGTTGATGCCTTTCCAGCGAGGTCCCTTTGTCCCTTGTATTGTTCTTCCAAGAACTCGCCAGTTAGGTAGTCCACAAGCTGTAAGAATAAAAAAATATTATTACTGTAATAAATGAGGTAAGTACTTCTTCATGATGACGATTTGATATGCTTCGATTTACAGATGCGATTCCCATAAACCAGTTGCAACATACATTGATTATTATCTGGAAATTATCCAGCAATAAGATTAATTTAATAATTATAATTATTTAATTTCAAAACAAAATAATGCTCTTTAATTATTTATATCAACAACGATGTCAAAATTAAAACATATCAACGTTATTTGTCATATTACTACCCCTTTATAAGTTCGGTAAAAGGAAAAGGGGAAATCCCCACCCATAGTCAATTCTCGTGTTCGGATACACACTATCGACTTGAGGCCAAAAAATTAAGGCATAGTATTACCCGCTTTCGGATTAGGTTTGCCAGATCGGAAGTCTAAAATATCTGGACAAATTTTGAAAAAGTCGGGATTTTGGGGTTGTTATCGTGAGAAATAAATATTAAAAATAAATAAAAAGTTTATTTTTTTAATTAAGGGGCTACAAAACGTACTTTAAAAAAAAACGAATTTAAGCACACTTAATTTTTAGGTTTCCACATGTATTTGGCATTGGACTTTATAGAGTCCACTAATTTGGATCCTTTAGTACTATTCTGAAAATATTTAAAATTCAAACAATTTACTTCAAAGTTTAGTCCAATTACTAACTCGGCTTTTTAAATCGAAGGCTACACGTTAACTTTCCGAGGAACTGATTGTCTGGAAATTTTGAAGTCTGTCGGGAGTCTTGGAGATCATTTAAAATGTCGGGAGAATCTAAACAAATCCCGACCATCTGGCAACCTTATGTCGGATACACGCTATAGACTTTAAGCAGAATATCATATACAGAAATAAACGTCGAGGATGAATGTGTACGGGCCACAGCAGCATATTATATAAAAAAAACGATGGTGATGACCTTCCATGACATATTTTATGCGAAAAACTTAAGATTTTTTTAGTAAAATAGAAAAATTGATAATATAAGAATTTGATGATTATCTTATATAACTAATGGGTTTTTTAAAAGGGTTAATAGGCTTTATAACTCTCTATATCTTCTCCTAAATGCCTGGATAGGTTTTGATAAAGTTTTGTAAGTGTGATGAAGTTGATTTTAGAATGGTTTAGATTCACAATAGGACCCGGTAGATGGGCTGTTGGAGATCCAGAAATACCCGTGTCAAGCCAGGGTTGTATCGCTAGTAATATAAAATATAAACTTACGTGGTAGTCATTGAACTTGGGGTCGGACTCGCAAGCGATGATCACGGACCTGATGCTCTTGGTGACTTCGGACTCCATTTTCAGGGCATGCTCTAGCGCGTCGACACCGCTCTCCCATGATTTACGTTCTGGAGGCTAAATGGAGAACTTTAATTAATATTTGTTTTATACGGACCGCGAGCTGTCACCAACACTCGGTCTTCTGTGTGGCGTAAGGCATAAGAGCTTGATATATTATTTTACTGTTCTTCTAATTTATCTTTCTATGTTTCTACACTGACGACGAGATTTTTATCATATTAACATGCCTATGTTGTAGTGGTGGCCTTAGGGTATCCACTACCCTATACAAGGTGTAAGTGTAAACACCGTTGTCACTAAAACCATAGGTAGTTGGCTTTAATATAAATATATTTATCCGAATTTTGAAAAAAAAAATGCCATTTTCTTTCATAAAATTTAAAAAGTTTCTGTCCGACACCGTCCGTAAATTCGTGGATACCCTATGCGCCCGAGTGACGTAATCACTGTAAAGATCACCGCCCGCCCTAGCTACCTACACAATATTCCAATAAAAAAACAATAAGTACACGTAACCTGTGATGTAACTTTTCCTTCATACTTTCATCCTGGCTTAGGACAGGCAAAAATTGAGGAATCAAGGAAAAATTAAGATTTTACTAAAAAAAAATGTTATTTTTCATTCAATTTACGTTCTATAAGTAAAACCAAACCACTGGTTTCGTGGATAACGGTGTTTTCACTAACGCCCTGTATAATTCCTCGAAGGCTATAAAAGGTTATAAAGTAAAACTGAAAAATAAGTTCGGCAGCAGCGTCATACTGATAACAGCTTTAAATAACATTAAAACTGCATTTTTCAACTCCAGGCGGGTCAAGCGTGATAGCCATTGTAATTAGTACTACTACCTAGGAGGCAGTCTATGAAAGAGTCCCATGTTCTGCATTGGTACACGCAAGCTGTGACAGTCCGTATGCTCGTTGCCCCCTTTCCTATAAAAAATATGATAAATTCTCTTACGCCACAGATACGCGTTAATAATAGGGTATTTTCCAAATTTTTGAGAAATGCTTATATTTAAAGATTCGGACAAACGATTTAACAGAAAAATAGAAATAAAATAATTAATGTCTTTTTTTCTCCATTAAACCAATTAAAGTTGAATTTATTTTTAATGGTTTTGAGTTTACCGCCAAAACGCTCGGTTCGATGACGTTTACTGTGTGACGTCAACTTTGTGTAAACAACATTTTTTTATTTAACTGGCTTTACGGCTCTGGGTTCTAGCCCTTTTGAACCTATCATTTCTTTCGGAATCTTCATTTTTATATATTTTTTATTTTGGAAGGATTGGTAATTTTATACTATCGCGGTCACCTCGTTTTTTGACTCTAGAAAATGGAAAAATCATTCGATTTCGATGATTTCTTATTAAAATCTTCATTATTATGGCGGATTATGAAAAAATTACAAGAATAAGAAAATGAAAATTTATATTGGTTTAAATGTTCATGAAAATGCATTCATTCACTTATAATTGTTGATAACTTTTTTAAATAATCAAATGAATTTTTTATATTTTTTTATTATATTCAAAAATTAATCAATAACTTATATTATCCTCGAAAAAATCTTGTAACAAAATAAAAAAATTATGCAATTTTTTGTATCTTAATCTAAATAACGCTAATTAAAAAAATTTAAAAAAAATTGAAAAAAATCACATAATGTTTATTTATTATTTTTTTAGTAAAGCGAGCTCGGTACTTAGGGCATCCCGACTCGGACAGGTAAGGTTAGAAGGAGATAGCGAGGTCGAGTGAGCGAGCGAATAGACCCTGCCATCTCTTTCGGTGTTTTTTTGTTATAAACCATTCAGATGTAGGAGTTCCGCGAAGCGGGGCTCCGCCGACCGGGCTTCACTCGTCTGCGCTACGTTGAGTGACGTGGTGCTTGGCCTCCCCCACGCGTCACAGGGCTCCTACTTCTGCGTGGTTTATAAGAAATAACCACGAAGGAGATGGCGGGGTCGAATGAGCAAGCGAAGCGAGCGAATAGACCCCGCCATCTCCTTCTAACCCAATCTGTTCGAGTCGGAATGCCCGAGCTCGCATCGTTCGATCTTATACTCAATAAAAACCAGAATAAAAAAATTCGTTTTTTGTGTCCCAAGGCATTCACTTTAATCAATCTATAATAATATTCTTTATGGTACACCAATATACATTAAAAATGAAAACAGAATGAGAAAAAAAACGAGTGTGCTTATGACTGAAGTAATATAATATAGGGCGATAAGGATCGCCCTGGATTCTTGTCTTGATTTCGATTCGTGTATTCTCGCCTTGTTTTTTTTTTCTTATATAATTTATTGAAGTGAAAACTTCTTTAGGATCGTTGTGATTTGAATGAATGAATACTCGATGACACGAAAAATCGACACTAAAAAGAGACAAACATCTACATCTACAAGATTTGGCGTGCGAGAGAATGAGATAGAATACAGTATACAGTGTTGCCTATTATCTCGGTATCAATAAATTCATAATAAAAAATGAATTAATAATAAAAAAGAATAATAATAAAAAATGAACTAATTATAAAAATTTATTAGTAAAATATAAATAAGGTTTCGTTTCTTTACCGCGTCTGAACTGCACAAATGTTTATTTATTTTTTTTACCATTTTATTGCATTGTTTAATAAGTTTACTAGTATTGAGCTGGCCGAAATTCAACCGAGCAATGGATTTGAAAAATGAGTGTATATTCACTTTACTTTACCCGCCTTCACATTGACAGCAACATACTGACTGGTTATACGTGTATAATTATTTACCGTTACAGTATATTTAAGTGCACTGCTGAACATAGGCCCCATAGATTGCCTCATAGGGGGGATATTTGCCATAGTTGCCACGCTTGGAAAGCGGGTTGGTTGCAGTTTTTTTTAGTACTTATTAGTAAGACGTTGCTGCCCATCTCCCGATTCGTTTCCCTCTGTCGCCTATTACGACACCCGAGGGATGGTATGGGGCAGTGGACATTCATACACCACCACTACACGGTAAAGAATTGTTTAAAAGACTCTTATTACTATAAATGTGCTACATGTAATATTACTTACCCTGATTTGAATGAGGGATGTGACGTTAGTGTCAAGTTCACCTCTCATGAGGAGGTAGTCGATAAGCTTCATCGCGTGCTCCCTCTCCTCCGATCCAGCGTCGAAGAATAGTTTCGCGAAGCCTGGGCGATTGATCTGTCCACAAGAGACAAATAAAATAATATTCTTAATATTTATTTTTTAAGAAACGTTACTTCCAAACTAGACACACACAATTCCACATTGTCCTGTATCGTGGGCGCATCTCGGAACAATTATATGTTGCGTGACTCTACCACGCTATATTATGGTTGTAGTACAAATGAGTCGGCTCGACCGGGGTAGGACCACGCTCTCACAGAATACCGGCGTAAAATAGCAGCTTATACTGATGTGTTTCGTATGGTTAGTATAGAGAACCGGAGACACTTTTTTACTGGAAACGAGGCATTTCACCTTAGTCCTCAGGGGTGACAACGCACCTGTGTTTTGATTTTTAATCGAGGATAAATGTAGATGTCTATGGGCCATAGCATCCACTTACCATCAGATGAAACTGTGTGCTCGTTTGTCACCCTTATTCTATTTAAAAAAAATGTGGGCCATACAAATACTTGTTCCGTGAGGGATTCGATGCCGCGGCCTTTGATTAACTTAAATTTAAATAATGCCGCGTAAATAGATTCTACGCAAGCGGAGACAGTGTTGCTAGTTTATAATAACACTGCTTACCCCATCTCTAGAGAAATGTGCTCCCATGGCAAGGTATTGCAGGGAGGCAGCAACTTCCATTTGGATCTGGCGGCGCATGCTGGAGCGGCAGCTCTGCTGCATCGTAATCCATTGCTTCGGGATGTTCACCGGAGTTACGCTGCCTAATAAAATAAAATAAAAGAATTTAGGAAAAACATTAATCTCTCGTTACCACGCTGCAGCTATACGGCTGCGGTACAAATGGGTCGGCTCGACCGGGGAAGTACCACGCTATGTCAGAATACCAGAGTAAAATAGCAGCTTAACGCTACTGTGTTTCGTATGGTGAGTGTAGAGAACCGGAGACCCTTTTTACTGGAAACAAAGCATTCCATCTTCGTCCTCGGGATTGACAACTCGCTACTTCTTCATTTTGATTCCTAATCGAGGACAGATGTAGATGTCTATGTTCCACAGGATGCATTAACCATCAAGTGGCAGTCCATACAGTTGTGCCCATTTGTGCCCCTTATTCTGTAAAAAATTACTTTATTCTTTCTGTATAAAAAAACTAACAAATTGTGCATAAATTGTTTATTAAAAAAAAGTTAGCTACGATCCCTCCGATATTATCTGTGGAATGGCAAAAACGTTGGGTGTGTTTGCTTCCAGAAAAAATGTTCGAAAAAAAAAAGAAGTTTGAATAAGTTACGTTCTTTTTATAAGCAAAAAGTATTCTACGAAGGCATTCCAAACAGTTTATATTTTATAAGTTTATTTGTAACATCAAACAGTTTTTTTTTATTTCAAGATAAGTTTGCACACAAGCATTCCATAAGCAATAACGAATGAACTTAATTAAAACTTGGAGTATAAGTCAAAATTTTATTTTCACGATTCTCTGAACGACGTTATCCGAAGGTATCTTAGTTCTATAAATGTTTCCTCGGTTTTGGAGCCTTTTGAGACGATGGCAAGACACCTAACGGTATGAGTTTGTTCTCTTGAAAGAAGGATACAGCTAGGTTCACCAGATCGGAAGACTAAACTGTCTCGACAAATTTAGAAAATATCGGGATTTTGAGGTTGTTGTCGGGAGAAAAAAACATTAAAAATAATTTTTTTTAATTAAGAGGCCATAGAAAGTACTTTAAACACAAAACTAATTGAAGTACACTCAATTTTTAGGTTGTCTTATGTATTTGGCACTGGACTTTACTAGAGCCCACCAATTTGGATCCTTTGATTATATTCAGAAAAGATTTAAAATTCAAACAATTTACTTCAAAGTTCAGTTTAATTAGTAATTATTTTTTAAAGGCCATACGTTAACATTCCGAGAAGCTGTTTGTCTGGAAATTTTGAGTTTTGTCGGGAGTCTGGAGATCATTTGAAATGTCGAGAGAATTCAGACGAATCTCGCCCATCTGGCAAGCCTAGATACAGCCATCGTGTTGTGAATGTAATGTACATAGACACTTTTGCCGCCTTTCATTTTAGACATTTTTTTTAGAGACATACCTCGTTTAGGCCCTACGCACGGTGCAGTTTTTAAAGAAATTGTATCTGCGTTTGGTTTTCTGCCCAAAGGCTAAATATAGACATTCAAGAGCAAACGCAGTCAGCGTTCTTGGTACCATTTTAGTAATTAGTTTTTTTTTTCATTGTTATCTATACAAATAAATAAAACTGAAGTGTGTGTTTGTAATGTCAAAATAACAGCTTTTTACTAAATGCATATGAAAGTATATACGGTACACATGTACCAAAAGACTTTTTTTTTTAAATTTGGACCGATTTTGACGGGACTTTCACTGGCAGACAGCTGGTGTTATAAGGAGTAACTTAGGCTACTTTTACTTTAGAAAAAGAATTATGGTTTCGCGCATTAGAAATAACCATGAAATCCAATCGTAATAAATTACACGCGGGCGAAGTCGCGGGGAACACCTAGTAAATAAATATTATTGAATTTATGTTACGTAAATAATTTTTTAGAGTAAAATAGCGTCGGAAATATGATTCAGACACGGGCATGAAGGTATTTGTGTAAATACCGTATGCCAACTGCTTAACAAAAAGAAAACATGTTTGTTACTCCCAATGCCAAAAGGTCAATATTCAACTGTACAAAATGGCCGACACTGACGCCCTACAACGCTTTTGTTAAATTGTGTTTTTATAATTTGTGCTAATTTGATAGGTATGAGGCATTGTTTTGTTCCTAGTTAATTATAATAGCATAAATTAAAGATTTTATTGTTCAATAGATAAATACTAAAAATTAAATGTTAATAATTATTACTTTCAAATTGCTAAAAAAGAAGTTATTTATTGGCAACCCTTAGGGGTGGAATTTTTTCTCCAAATTTATATGGGACAAACCTTTAAGTATAATCTATTTAAAAAAATAGAATCATTAAAACCGGTTCTTTATCTGCGACGATATCATATGAAATTCCTTAAACAATAGTCCAATATGAAACTTTTCCCCCTATTTTCCACTCTTGGAGGCGGAACTTTTTCTTACAAATTTAATGGGACCAACCTTGTGGTAAAGCCCGTTTAATAAAAAAAGAATTACTAAAATTGGTTAACAATCTGTGAAGATATCGCGTAACATATATACAATAAAAACATACACTCGAATTGAGAACCTCCTCCTTTTTGAAGTCGGTTAAAAAGGTTTAAGGATTTTTTTTTTTGTAGGAATAGGAAGATGTCTTTACATTCTGCTATCAGAAAAGATAGCAGAATGTATCGTGCTACAACTATACTACTAATATAGCTGCAGCATGGCTCTACCACGGGTATACACGGATGATATATTAATGAGCATCAAGCTCGCCTATCGATCAATCCATCATCATCATCATTACAGCCCCTAACAAGTCTACTGCTGAACATAAGCCTCCCTCTAGGAATGCCACAATGCACGGTCCCGAGCCACCTGCATGTCTTACCAGGTCGTCACTCCATCTAGTTGGGGGACTCCCTACACTTTGCCTGCCGGTACGAAGCTGCCACTCGAGAGCCTTTTATCGATCCATCCATAACATTGTAAACAACATTAGATAATATAGTACAGGGATGGCGAGCCAATGGCACGCGACATGATATATTGGGCACGCCACGCCACCGATCACAAAGTTCACTAAGAAGTGAATTAGTTATTAGTAATGTTATGAAGGAACGCGAGTGATCCTACTATTTTTAATGACATTTAGTTCGTTTCATCATCATCATCATTACAGTTTACAGCCCTTCACAAGTTCACGCCTCCCACAAGGAATGCATAGTTCGTTTACGCATAGCATAATAGTCAATTTCGTTGACGCATTTAAAAATTCATTTTGGTTATATTTAGGATTTCACAACACCAATATAAGTTATATTTGTCATCTAATCTGCAACAACAGAAGTCACACTAATGTTACTATAATTTTAATTGCGCGTATAAGCGATTTACTATATACTATTATTTGCTTTATATTCAGGATGTCAAAAAATTTTTACGGCACGTCTATTACCTAATCAAACATTTCTTTAGAAAAAATAGCACATTGATACATAAAGGTTTGCAACTCCTGATAATTATAGAACAAAGTCACATGGCGAGATGTCTTTGCTTTTCTTTTCAGAAAAGAAAAGCAATAGGTACATCGATTTCTTAGATTAATTGAGACATAAATGGCGCCTTTAATTCACTGTCATGTTATCAAATTATAAATAATATGGAATGTACATCTATCTATATGTAAGGGACATCTCAAGTGCACGGCACAAACAAGACACTAAAACCTTTATCTGAATCTGTGATTGTCGGTCGATATATAAAAAAAATATGTATCTAAGTCACATGACGAGATGTCTTTGCTTTTCCTTTCAGAAAAAAAAAACAATAGGTACATCGATTTCTCAGACTGATTTGAAAGGTATAAATGGCGGGTTTTAATGGCTGTCACGTTACCAAATTATAAATAATATAGAATGTACATTTTTATCTACACGTAAAGGACTAAGGGAAATCTCAAGTGCACGGCGCAAACAAGGACACGTGGACCTTTATCTGACGCTGTGTGATTGATATAACAATATGTATGTTTTGGACACCATGATGAGACATTGTTTCTATGTTACTGAAGACAGAATTGATAAGCATAAAATGGTTAAAACTATTCCGTTACCTCTCAAGTGGAATGAAATAAAGATTAGATAATTTTTGAATCCTTGTGATTTGAAACGTGGTGAAATGCAAAAGCAACAATAAAAGGAGACAAATATATATATATATATATATATATATATATATATATATATATATATATATATATATATACATACTTACAGGATTTGGTCTGCAAGAGAATGAGATAGAATTAGAACATCAAGCATCTATTTTAGGTACCAGCTTGAGTAGGGTTGCCACCCGCAATATAATACAAAATATCGTAGTATATTTCAGTCTATTGTACTACCTATATATTATAGAAAAGTAATATAATACGAATAATATCATATTTTTAACACAATAACCTTACCTACCTTATAACCCTAATTCAACTGTCGTTAATTGTTATATTAACTGTGATTGGAAGTCTGGAAAACAAGTAGACGGAAAATTTTTTTCCATCATGAGCGTAAAATTAAAAGAAGAAAGAAATAGTGCATGTATTGATTTAATTAAAAATTAGATTTAATAAAAAAGGCACGTATTAATTTAATTAAAAATTATTTTCATAATTTATTTTGATATGAATCTAAATTTCTCAGAAACCTATAGTTATTTTACAAGTAAGGTAGAAGGTAAGGGGGCGTCCATAAATTACGTGAAGTGTTTTTTTTTTTAATTTTCTGTCCCTCCCTCCCCCCTGGTGATATGTCGTGGGATTTTATTCAACCCCCTCTCCCATCCTCCAATCTCACGTGAGGTTTTTTCAAAATGGGGGTTTCTTACGTAAACGCGTTGGATTGTTATTGTAAAAAGAATTTTGTGTGAGTAGTGTGATATTACGCTGAGTAAGTGATCCTAAGCCTTATAAAAAATAAAACTGGATCGGAAATTTAGTGCAATGTTAAATTCTATTTTTACTGTACTATTTCATTAAACATTTTATTTATCAACGTCTTACAATCGTCGTTTCTCTAGCGCTCACGTGACCTTCATACAAATAAATCGATA